TTTATAGTGACTGTCAGTCGGGAAGGACCATTCAAATTCACTATCCTATTGCCATCAATACTGATCTTCATAATGATTACGTTGACTGTGTTCGCTTTCTTGGACACTATGTTATATCTAAGGTAGTATTCTTTAGTCATTAGCTGCAAGTTCTATTCTATTAAGGAATTTAGGGCTCAGATATGTCGGTGGTCGTGTTCAGATTTGGTTCTTTCGGAGAGGAATTTTATAAGATCAGACCAAAACTACAGGTTCGAAACAACGAAGATAGATTAGAGGTTTATTTCCTTTCATGTCTTCATATCGTAGGTTGACACATCAGCAATCCAGCTTGTTCGTATGGAGTTGCCGGACTCCGATATCTGGTTCATCAAATTTGACATAGATCCTCTTAATCGGGTATCTTTTTTTTACATTTGTGAGCCGTAGTCAGTGTTGTCGTTTTTTAGTGGATCGTAAGCGGTAACAAGATGGGACAGCTATGTTTCTGGGATCTTACCGAAGGTCTTCCCACCGTTAATATGTAGGTTTCCATTTCTTGACTTCGCACGTTTGTTTTCATTTAATTTTGGGAATGATGTAAGTCTACATACAGAGTTCTTGTTTCCAACAAATGTGACGCGATGTACATGTTGATGCAGTCCTTAAAAGATGTTTTCGAGGTCTTACTCCTAAACTGCATACAATCGTCTTCAGGACTGTTACCTTGAAAATTGCTGAATGCTGCATCCGTCAGATTTGCTTCGGTGCCAATGGAAGAATTATGGTCGCTGTTGCTGATGATTATTCTGTCACTAGACTTGAACGCATTTTAGAAGGAGAAGAGGCAAGGTTTAATTATGTTTATCACTTGTTCGGTGTCATTTTTGCCCTAGGTTGGTTTTTTTTTGATCCACATGCGAGCTTTAAACGCTGCAAAATTGCTGTTCTTTCCTCTGAGTCTCATACGACTTTGCAGATACCCTCGTATTGTAAAAATATCGGTCTATCATCTGTCAATGGTCCTTCCGCGAAGAAAGCGAAGAGGCGAAGCAGAAAGCATGGGAGAAAGCGGAACAGCGACTCGGGAAGTTCAGAAAATAGTGATGATCATGCAAGTTGAGTTTGAGTTTGTAGTGAGAGCATATATTATTATTCTGCATACCCTGCTTATTTTCTTTCCTATGTTACATTTGCTCGGTGAGACCATTTATCTTCCCTTCTAGTATGGAAGATCATGTTTTGTGCTCTAACCATTTTTTTTTCTATGACGCGGAGACTTTTTAACTAAATTTTTGTCTATTGCTGGCAGTTTTTGATCTCGATGTATATACAATAAAGATTTTGATAAGTCATGCTGCCCAAATATTCGAGAGTTTTTGACTCTTACTGTATCTTCTGTATCTTCTTTCTCTTGTACTCGTCGAATTATTTCGGGAGTTTCAGGAGAGAGTTCCTGGGAAAGCTATTCCCAAATACATCTGACGTTTTCGTTCGTTTCTAGATTGTTTGAAATCCTACCAGCATTTTTTTTTTTGCATTATTCGATACTAATGTTATGTATGTCCAACTCTTCAAATGCTT